CTGTGGGCCAGCCCTCTGCCACCTCCTCCTTCGTTTCTAACTCCAGGCGACTAAACGGCAGGAAGTCCGACCTCCGACTGTTCCGCAGAAGTTTCTGGGGGGAGGGACTTGGGGGCAGGAAGGGGCGATGACCGCCACCACACACTGCAGGATGCGGGGGCCGGAGGCAAGTGGTGAGACCCCCTCATCCACCCCCATCCTTGCGCGTGGCGGGGGTGAGGCCCGCAGAAGAGCGACGTCTGTCCCGGCCACCCACCTGTCTCCCTGTCCAGCGGCCCTCCCGCCACCCTGATGGCCCAGGTCCTGTGTTCCCCTTGGCCTGCACCCCAGAGTAGGGCCTGGGCCCCGGACTGCACCCTGTGACGTCTGACCCTCTCTGCTGCCTTCTGGTGACTTGCCGGTGATCCTGGAGCCTTGCAGAGACCCCGTGTGTCCCTCCCCAGGTCTGACCTTCACAGGGTTTCTCAAGGAGTCCTCAAGGCCCCATTCTCCCTGAGCGGCTGCAGGGTAGTGGAGAGAAGCTTGGTCTGTGTGCTGCTTCCCCTGGGTCTTTAGCCAAGAGCCCCTGGGCTCGTCAGCTCCTCACCCCAAAAACTACAACCTTGACCTACATCCCCCAGGAGGTTCCTTTATGAGGAGCCCTCACTCCCTCCCCCATCTCCTCCCCTCCCTCAGCCCTGCAGACCCTGCTCCTGGGAGCACACCGCTGCTCTCTAGCTGGCCCTGCCTCAGGCTCCCCTGTCTGACTCCCACTTTACCAGCAGCTTGGCCTCAGTGAGGACTCCTCTTGCTCCAGAACCTGCAGTGGCTGCCTACTGCCCAGGGGTGAGGGGCAGGCGCCCCCACAAGCTGGAGTCCACCTCCCTCTCCCAGTAATTGGCTTCTCCCTTCCCTACACCCTTCACATGGGCTCTTAAGTCCCTAGTAGGTGCTCGAGAGAAACATTCACCCCCCCACCCCGCCGTGCACAGCGTAACAGAGGCTGGACGTTACATGTTAGGACACAGGAGAGTGGGACACTCGGCCACGAGGAGGTGGGAGAGAGGTGGGTGGGGGTGGCAGAGCCCCCCTGAGGCGACGGGGGCCTGGCCCTCTCCTGGGGTGGGCTGTCAGCCCTGGGGGTGGCTGGCTACTGAGGTCATTTGAATGCCCTTTTGTAGGAGAAAAAGCAACTTAGCTAAAAGCCAGCCTTAGGCCTCTCCATTCCCCGCCCTCCCATCTGTTCACTTCCACCTCTCTTGCCTCCTTGAGCATCCCCAGGCTGCCCTGCCCACCCCACGGCGCCTCAGCCCCAACCTTGGCCGTGGCCCGGAAGAATGGGTAGCTGACGTTGCAGACTTTCTTGCAGAGCCTCCGCTCCTCGCTCACACACTCAATGCTGCCGTCCGAGTCGTCCTGGGGGTGAGGGGACACCCGGCAGTAGTCAGAAGGAGCCCGACCCCCAGGCCTGGGGCCACCCTTGCCCTGCCCGCCTCCCCATCACCCTGGCCGATGCCGCTGCACAGCCTGCGGGTGCTGGGGCCCCAGGGGCCCTGGACGCTCTGGGGTACGGCTGGGTCCCCTGTGTGGAGAGCGTGGCGGGTGCAGGGCTGGGGGCTGGCGTGGCAGCGCGGGTCGTGGAGACAGTGGGCAGGCGCTTTGTCACTCCCCCTGTACCAACCCCGGCGGCGGGGCTTGTCATCCGGCTTACAGGTGGGGTCACTGAGACCCAGAGTGGGGGTAACCAGCTCAGACCATCAGAAGGTGGCCTCTTCCACTCAGGGTCCCCTTACTTGACGGTAGGAGTTGGGCTGGGGGAGGGGAGTGCTGATCCCCAGTTGTGAGCATCTCCTGGCCTGGGGATGGACGTGGTATCCGTGAAGGAGCCAGGCTGCAGGCTAGCCCCACTCCCACACTGTGTGTACGTGTGGCTGGGGAGGGGCCCATCCTGCCTCCCCCAGGCCAGTGAGGAAGGGGAGGTGGCAGTCAGGACAGAAGGCCTGAAAGCTGTCCCACCCCGCACTCCAGGCTCCATGCGGACACTCGGAGATCATGAGAACAGAGATGGTGTCTGAAGGGCCCTGGGATCCCCCAGCACCCACACACAGCAACAAAGCCCTAGGTTTATTCCACAAGCGCGTCTTGAGGGACTTCCACCCGCCCAGCCCTGGCCCAGCCCTGGGCACAGACGTGGCTGAGACAGGCACTTGCCCTCTGGGAGTTCAGGGCTGCAACAGGGCAGCGCTCAGACACCAGTGATTGCCACGGAGCATACACAGCTGCAGCGGGGAGCTGTGGGGGCTGGGAGGCCCTGTGTGGCCTTTTGGGGCTTCAGGAAGCTACCCCAGAGAGTGTGGCATGGGGACTACGCTCTGTCAGGAAGTGAGGGCTCAGGAGCCGGCTGCTGGGCGGGACTCCCGCTCTGCCACTTGCTGACTGTGTGGTCCTGTTCAGTCCATTTAACCCCCTCTTGCCTCGGTTTCCTCCTCTGTAAAAGGGGGACATCACCACCACCACCACCTCGTGGAGTGTTTGTGAGGGTGAAACGTAAGGCAGGCATTGTAAAGGGTTACCCAGAAGGAGCAGGAGCCTATCAGGCAAGGAGGGGAGGGTGTAGCTCAAGTGGTAGAGCACATGCTTAGCACGCACGAGGTCCCGGGTTCAATTCCCCAGTACCTCCATTTAAACCAGTCAGTGAACAAATCTGATTACCTCCCTCCTCAACAACAACAGAAATTTAAAAGAGGAAAGGAGGGAGAGGGTCTCAGGCAGGGGCTGTGTGGTGGGGGGGGCCTTGGTGTGAAAGGGCAGCTGTGCTGGGAAGTGGGGCGGGGGCGGGGCTGCCATGGGACGAAGGGTGGGGGGTAAGGGCAGGAGCGGCAGGTGTGGGACGGGAAGCAGGAAAGGTCCTTGAATGCCACAAGACAGAGTTTGGAAAGCAACTGGGAGTGTTGGGAGGTTTTAAAGTGGAGAGGAATCGGTTCTGAATCTCGTTAGAAGGACCACTCTGAGAAAGCCTGGGGAATGAGCTGGAGGCAGAGGGTGTGTATGCAGGGGATGTGTGCGTGAGCGTGCGTGTGTGTGCGCGCACGCGTATGTGCACGAGTGCACGTGCCTGTGTGCACGCGTGACCCTGACAAGGGCCAAGGGCACCAGGAGAAGTATATTCCTCTCTGTGGCTCTGAAAGGCTCAGACCTCCCTCTTCCCTTGGTTCTCAGCCCTGGCTGCACACTGACACTACCTGGGCAGCTTTAAAAGCACACTGATCCAAGCCCATCCAGCCCAGATCAATCAGAACGTCCTGGAGAAGCCTGGACACAGGCATTTTTAAGCTCCTAGGTGATCATGATGTATAGCCAGGCCCCCTACCTGGACCCCTCCTTTCATGCCCCTGCCCTTCCCCTCAGGCAGGCTGGGCAGGCCACCAAAGTCTTACCTTCTGGATCAAGCTGGCAAACTGCAGGTTTGCTGACTGAGAGATATTGAGGACGGTACTGTAGGCGTTCTCACCCTTGTTCTCCAGTGAGGCCTCCACCGCCACCCGCCGCCGTGTGCTCTCTATGATGAAGACTGTGGTATCGAAGGACAGTGTGTACGCAGAGCAGTCCTGGGCAGGCTTCCTCAGCACCCTCTGGCAGTACTCCCTGCAGGAAGGAGACCAGCAGGAAGCAGGCAGATGGAGTGGGGAATGCAGGAGAGACCTCACTGTGCATGTATCACCTCACCAATCAGCATGTTTCCCTTTTGGCTTTGTCTGCCAGGAAGCTCAGAGCTACATATGCAGACAATCCTCTTCATTAGCCCAGATGGTTAGACTCTTTGCTTCTTCACCCTTCTCCAAGGTTTGGATGTGCGCTTTCTACTTATTGTATATGTATCTTCTATTTAATCATCTCATAGCTGGATAAAAATTGAGTATAAATTACTTGAAAATATATTATGAAAATTTAAAATAGGATCATTATTTCTCCTTGTCTGCTACTTTATTTCTTCCAGGGGATTATGGGTACCCTGCTCATCCTTACTAATTTCCTTAGCACTGAGCCCAAGTAGTCAGTCAATGGACTTCAGAGGTCACCTAGTCTGGGGGCTGGAGGATGAACCCCCAGAACTCTAGGTCTTCAGCCCCTTCCTTTTTCTTTGGTTTGTAGTGTGGACTCCAAAGAAAGGAGCCCTTTTCTAAACAAAGTTTGAGGAGGTTGGATTAGACTAATTAGTATTCATTTTACAGATGCAGTAACTGAGGCCCAGAGAGGGCAAGGGACTTGCCTGAGGTCACACAGGAGTTAGAGGCAGAGCCTGAGCTAGACCCATGCTCCAAGTTCAGTGTTTGGTCCACACTGCCTATGACTGCACATGCAGGATTGTTACTCAGGGACCTGGGAGCCCAGATCCACCAGCAGGGGAGGGGAAGGAGTCCGGGCTGGGGTGAGGCGAAGCCAGCTCACATGGCTGTGGGCAGGTCACTGCGGGCATCCAGCAGGAGGTCAGGGACACAGTGCTCATCCTCGTTGCAGCCATTCCAGAAGGGCACCTGGGCCAGGAAGAGACAGGTATGGGTGGCTGGATAGGTGGCCCATAGCCTCCACCCCCATCTTTGCTGCGGGCCAACCCTCACCCCCATTGCACACCAGCCCCTCTCTCCGCAGCACTAGACATGGGCTTCATTTTTTTCTGCCCTTCTCACAGACACCATGCTGCTTTTTCTCATGGTTTTGTATAGATACTCCCTTCTTCAAAACATGACTCAAAACTCAACTCCTCCTGGGTCTCCTTCAGTCCCTAACCGAGCCAGTAGCACAGGACACCCATGTACCCAGTTCCAGTGAACATTTATTGATCATTTACTTATTTACTGTGGGGAGTAAGCTCTTTGGTACTAGGGACATGGGATGAGGAAGACACAGCTTCTGCTCAGCTCATGGGGAAGATGA